AGACCTTGGCCCTTTTAAACTAAGGTCTCGGTTTGTCTGAGGCAATACCATTCAGTGATTTAAGCCTAGGTAAGAAATGAGGCAAAATATGGCCTACTTTGCCTACTCAAAAAAAAAAAAATTTGAACTGGGAAGGGAAGACCCTCAGCATTTCTGGCCATAACCGAAAGGATTGCTATTTACATTCACTTTGAGCCATCAAAATCCAAACAATGACCAAGTGAGGCTTGTGCTGGGATCTATTATTGGCCACTTAGTGAGAGCCAGAGTGATTTGGGTTTAAGGCATGGTCAAGCAGCTCCATTTGAATCCCAATGGGCTTTATCAAAGCGTGGTTTTCCAGAGCTCTATTTGAAGAAATAATAAATGAAACAACATGGGGTGAATTAATTGTCCCAGTTTAAAAAAAATGATAGAATAAATATGGAAGAGAAAAATCTGGCCCCCAAACCCCAAAATATCTTGTGAGACTTCAGCAATTGAAATGTATATTCCTTTGGGCAGAGCACACACATGTAAGCGTATGATTCCCTTGTGGACAGAGGGAGAGGAAAGAAGGAAAGAAGGAAGGAAGGAAGGAAGGAAGGAAGGAAGGAAGGAAGGAAGGAAGGAAGGAAGGAAGGAAGGAAGGGAGGGAGGGAGGGAAGGAAGGAGGGAGGGAAGGATTGCCTAATTGGAACTGGCCAATTGGGCCACCAGTGTGGTAGCTACTACTGTTGAAGTTTAGAAGTTTAGAGGTATTGGGACCCCTAAACAGCGATACCTGGGTCCTGCTCGAATGAATGTGACCCAAGCCTTCTTTCAGCCAAAGACATGGTTTATTAGAACACTGATTTGGGTGAACGAGATTCCTAGTAAGTCTGTGCTATTGACTAGATTTTAAGAATCTGAGCACCTTAAATGGCAGCCAAGATGGATCTTATATATAGAAAGACTATGGGAGGGATCTAGGAGTGGCCAAGTAGTCTGAGGTGACTGTGGGGGGTCTAAGGAGGATCTGGATGGGAGTGGCCAGCAAGCTGGGGTCACTGTGAGGTAACAGAACAAGGGACCTGGACCATGTGGCTAAGAGAGAATGGAGTCTAGATAGGATTAAGGGTGGGATGTGGCTAGGGGTGATTTAGGGTGGGTAACAGAACTGAATTGGGAGATTGGGCTAGCCAGACTTGACCATGTAGAAAAGTTCAGAGCTTTTCCTTTTTGGGGTCCAGATCCCAAAGACATTGTCTTTTCCTTTTAGATGTTTAGATCCCGTGTCCCTCCCCCTCACTACTACTCACAGATTGTTGTTTGTCCTTCATTCTAGAAGACCAATAATCTTAGGAGGATGACGTCTTGACTTGCAAGTGAATTGGATTTTAGTGAGGCAGAGCTGTGCAAAGTCACCAGACTCACTCTCTCCTCCAAGGCCATCTGAGTCTAGTGGCAAGACATAGGTCAGGATGACTGGAGATGACCTCTTACCAATGATGACATGGTTGCCAAATACAACTCGATACCTCCCCCCCACCCCCACCCCCTGCCCCAACCCAGATTCTCCTGGACCTCTCTGCAGCAGTTCGACACTGTTGCTCATTCTCTCCTCCTGGACATTCTCTCTTCTCTGGGTTTTTGTAACATTCCTCTTTTCTGACTGTTCTCACTCTCTTTAGCAAGATATTCATCTATGTCATGTGAATCTACTAACTGTGGGTATCTCCTGAGACTCTATCCTGTCTTCTTTTCTTCTTACAGTAACTTATTGACCTCACCAGCTCTGATGGGTTTAATTATGCTCCATGTAGATGATTCTCTCTGTGTGTATCTCTCTCTGTATCTCTCTTCTCCTTTCTTCTCCAGTCTGTCTCTCTCCTGGGATCCAGTTCTACATCATCAACTGCTTATTGGACATTGTAAATTGCATGTACTGCAGACAAACTTTAACACATCAAAATCACGATTTATTGTTTTCCCCTGCAAAACCACCCTTCTGAACGTCCTTACCACTGAGGGCACTACCAACCTCAATACATTAGTTTCCTAATCTTATTGTTTCATTTTCCACAAGATTTGTAGGGACACGTTTCCTCTCCACTCACAACCACCACCGCACTGCAATAGTTTGCTAATTATTCTCCCTGCCTATGATCAGTCCTTGCTCCAATCCATTCTCCACACAGCTATCAAAGTGATTTTCCTAAAGCATAGGTCTGACCCTATCACCCACTTACACAATAAAACCCAGGGCTTAGAGGTGACCTATGACCCCTAGGACAAAACAGAAATGCCTGTTTGGCATGACACACTCAACATTCCATTTTCCACCTCCATGCCTTTTTACAGGCAGTCAGTTCCCCATGCCTGCAACGCACTCCTGCACCCTTCCATGATCTGCTCAAGAGCTGCTTCCTACATGGGGCCGTTTGTGATCTCCCCAGCTGCCACTGTCTGCATCTCCCCTGAACTTCCTCTGTATATATTTAGTAGCTATTTAAAATGTATGCATGTTATTTCTCTGATAGAATGTCAACTCTTTGAAGGCAGGGACTGATCGATGTCAGGGTTATTGAAGTTCCTCATCACTACTGTATCCTGTCTTTTTATCTGGCTTAACAACTGTTTCCTGAACTCAATGATTTCCTCTTTCTGTCCAAATGGTCTGTTATACACCGATGACAGTGTCATTTCCGTTAGTGTCCTCATTAACCTTCACCCAAATACTGTCTGCCACACTTCTAGTTTCTAGGTTTTCTCACAGAATAGACAAATCATTTATTGGGCTCTGGCTCCTGGTCCAACAGACATCATATAAGATACATCATTTATTATGTTCTTACTATGTGCCAAGTTTGGGGCTAAGCACTGGAGACAAAAATATAAGACAATTCCTTCCCTGCAGGAACTTACATTCTAATCAGGGAAGACAAGGCATAAAGGAGAGTGAAAATGAAGGGAAGGGATACAAGGCATGGAGACTCAATTCTCAGAGAGATAAAGCAAGAGCTTACCAATCAGAGAAGTGGGACCTAGGGTTGGAATCCAAGGTTTGTAGATGGAGAAGAAATGAAGATGAGGAGATGGCTGGGAATTGACTCTATCATAACCTACATGTTCATCCTCATCTTAATTCTTTTGAACAGGTATCCTTTCTCAAAGACATGCTGGTCATGGGTCTCAGTGCCCAAACTAGGGAGTTCCACAGGGCACTGAACAGTCTCCTATCTATAGTATGACTGAGGCTGGCTTACTATCTGCTCTATCATCCACATTTTACAGAAATGATTTCACTACTGGCCTCAGGGTGTGAGTGAGAAAAGTCTTCAGATCTCTAAGTTACCAACTCTAATGTGAAGATCCTATGAAACATTCAATGGCCCCATTCTGTACCTGTGTTGTCTAAGTATACCAGAAGGGAACTTTATGTTAGCACTTAAAATTTTTCCCTGAGAGTGAAGAATATGCGAATGTGGAATGTGGAAGTGATTAGCTACAGACACATGGGCTCATGCATTTTGTTCCTGTTCATCCTTTTTAAAAAATCACAGAATCTCAGAAGCGGCATAAGCAGTCATTAGGTTTAGCCCCTATTCAATCTATGTGTCCCTTCAGTAACATCCTACCTCCCTTTGAATATCCCACCAAAAGACATTCCCTTCTACTTTTGGAAGGCTGTAATTGTTATAGCCCTTTCTTATACAAAGTAGAAAATGCTTCCACCCATTAATACTAGAGAATATGCTCTTTTCCAGGCAAAACATCCCGTTTTGTAACGGTGGCAAGGGTAGCAGATTAGGTGTGTTCATTTTTCAGGCTCAGCAATCAACAGTCCTGGCCTAAGGTCTCTTTGGTCGTTTGCAATGCCCAAGGCATTTATTTGGAGATTCGGGTCTTGTAGACCTTGCAGATGGTCATTTCCCAAGGACATTGTTTACAAAACCAGACTAGGACCTTTTCCATTTCCAGGGTTATTCCTTACAAATACGGGGTTTTGCCATATTTTCCGACCTTTTCTTCCTATTTTAGCTAGTCCCTTTTTGTTGTTAAACTGTTTCTAACCCCTCACTATGGCAACCATTTCAAGAACTATTCTGACCAAAGGAGCAACGGGGTGGTCAGTAAGGGTGGAGGTCCTTTTTCAGAGGCAAAGAACCAGCTTCTGATATTTCTCTATTCCTGCCCCAGGAGATGAACCAAAAAACTTACTAGACTTGCTGAACCAGCATATGTTGAAACTGGAACCAATCCAAATTTAATTTCTATTAGAAATGACACGTAGTTGCCTTTGCCTTGACTCTAGATAACTTCTTATCCTGGTCAGTACTGGCAGCGGTGGAGAGAGCATAGTAGGGCACACGCCTCAATTACCAACACTGTATTGGGTGGATTTGCTTATTTTCTTACAAGGGGGTGGCGGGGGTGAGCTTTCTAGTAACCAGTGTGAACAAAACTTATTTTTAAAAATAAAAGCGAGATGGGCAGCTATACTGTTAGGATAAGTATCTAGAGGACCTCCACCCTTACTGACCACCCCATTGCTCCTTTGGTCAGAATAATTCTTGAAATGGTTGCCATAGTGAGGGGTTAGAAACAATTTAACGACAGTGGATGGAGCTCCAGCCTTGGAGTCAAGGACCTGAGTTCAAATCTGGCCTCAGACACTTGACATTTACTAGCTGTGTGATGCTGGGCAAGTCACTTAATCCTGATTGCCTCACCAAAAATAAAGTAAAAGTGAGGTTGGATTAGATGATCTCTGAGGACCTTTTCTACTCCGAATCCTGGGATTCCGTGACTAAACTGTTTATCTCCTCCAAGGTCTCTTCTTTGGCTTGAATACTCCGTGTTCTAAGTATGGTTCTGGCCTTTGCTGACATCCCCAGTCTTTTCTAACTCATGACATTTTGACTTTAAAAGACCACTCAGACAAGAGTGCAAATATAAATTCTGCCACAAATGAAATTTGGAGCCCAAACACTCCAAAGCATCTCTCATCTTTGTGAATATTGAACAGGCCCCAACAATTCACCTTCCCATACCAGGGTAATTTATTCAAATGTTTATAGATACAAAAACACACATTAAAGGGAAAAAATGCTTACAATCATCCTCTTTATAAGTACATCAGCACCAAGCTCTCCAAATTCCCAACAAGGGGATGGAAAGCTGACTTCACACCCACATGGGGACCCTGGGGTCACTGAAGCACCCCGGGACTGCTCAGCGAGTGGCTTTCAGCTTCCATGTCTTCTCACCATCCCCTAGCTGCCCCAGCCACACAGCTTTCAAGGCCCATAACACTGTTGTCAATTTGACTAATAATAGTAGGTATGAGGTGGAGCAAAATGGCAATCTCAGAGCTTCCCCCTGCAAAAACTTGAAGGCATGTTCAGTGCTGCAATGGCCCCCAAACAGCTGGAAAGGTCAGTAGATGGGTCAGAGAAGGAACTGAGAGGCAATTCCCATGTAAAAATACAAAGCCCCAAACACTGGCTATGGCATATGGACAGTCTAGAGGCACAAGTCACTACCAGCTCTTCCTTTCAATGGACTCATGTCTCAGGAAGGAAGCCTGTGAAAAGCTGGGGACTTCTAGGCCAAAAGGATTAATGTTTAATCAAAAGCCCAATAGTAACTTTCCTGTACAGTCCATGAGTTTGACACCCGTGAAAGTTATCACTCTAATGACATAAAAAGCATTTACAAGGCAAACTGGCCCAATGATCATCCCACCCCCAGAGGTTCAGGCAGCAGGTGGATCTGCTTGGCATTTGTGCTTTGATAAAAATAAATGATAAACCTCCCTTTATCCCCCACCCCCCAAGATGCTTAAAGTCAACTCCTCTATTCCACAGTTACCAAGTCTGAGGAGGGCAGGTGGGGAAACAAGGGATTAAAATTTGTCTTTCCTGTGAATTCACTGATTGCAACTTATGTGGAGGGGGAAGGAACATTAGAAAACCCTCCAACAACAAAGAGCAATGTATGATCCCTAGATGTAGTTTTCATGAGTTTGGGATTGGGGAGGGAATTCTCCTCTCTTTCCTCAATACACATGAGTTTCATAAGCCCAGTAGGACGGGCATGTTAGACGCTGGGTGGTGAACACCTCATCACCAAGCCACACTGGTCATGCAGTTTAAAAATGCTGGATCTGACCAGTGATAGCAACCAGTTATAAACAAATGGAGGAAGGGTTCAGAACGCACAGGGAGAAGCACGAACATCAACATCATGAGGACACGATACCCTCATCCCAATGTCTACTTTTTGGCAAATCGGCATAAACGAGCACATAGCTAGGAATCCCGGGCATTTCATACACTATGCTTTATAGTGACGTAGTAGATTCATCTTGGGCTTTTTTTTCCTTGTACTAGCCAAAAAAAAAAAAAGATTATAACTAGAGATAAGACAAGGAAGAATATCAAAAAAAAAGGCAGATTCAAATCTGGATTGACACTACCCTCTAATTGCCGACAACTCCCTCAGTCCAGTCCAGTCCAATCTACAATTTATTGTACCCAGAATGTAGACCTCGGTAGGGAGTTGTCTCAGGCATCTACACATTCAGTAAAAATCCTGAAAATGCCAGCCCAGGAGAGTTCCACGCTTGTCCATGTCTAGCTGGAGGAGGCCAGGCAAGGAAAGGGCTCGTTGCTCCTGTCCTTCCGGCGCCTTCTTAGACTTCACCCTCTGGGGGCTGCCACATCAGATTGTCCTCCAGAGTGGATCTCCCCATTTGAGTTTTTGTGTCAGAAACTGGAAAGGGATGTAGGGCAACGAGGCAGTCTACAGAAGAGTATTCATGTTGCCAAGACAGAAGAATGCTGGTTTCAATTTAAACTTCCAAAAGGAAGGGAGAACTTGCATCTTGTAGCGGGTGTCATCTGACTACAGAGAAGACAGACGTTCTCCAAGTCTTCTCTCTTGCCAGTAAAGTCCCAGCAGAAAAAGAAATCGCTTGGCTTGTGGAAGAACATCTTTATCCCCACCCACAGTAGCGGCCACTGTAGTTAATGTGCCCTTCTTCACAAGGCACTGAGGCACAGAACTGAGAGGTGATGGGCAGGGGATTGAAACAGCATAACCTTTCTTTAGGCAGTTGAATATTAGCGTTCTTAGACACCAGAGCTGTAATATCTTTCTGGAAATGCCTAAGGCTTTCTCAAGTGCTAAACAGGGAAAATGTCTTTCAAAAAAAAATCTTAAGTTGTTAGATGGAAACACATGACACAGCCCTTAAGGGGTATGATACAGCAGCCCATTATGCCTGAGGCAGCTTTCCCACCTCAGTACTAACCAGCTGTGTGACCTCAGACAAGTCACTCGCTCACCTCTCATTTCACGTCACCAAACATCTGTTTTGTCACTTTCTTAATAAGGAGGTCTTTTAGTTCTCCAGCTCTGTAATTCTAATTAATAGTCTCCTCTAAACTGCCCACAAGATCATGGCAGAGCCTACAGGTGAGAAGCGTGTGCCAGAAGATGTCTGGGCTGTCATTCCCCATACCCCTAAGCAACTCATGCTAGAAGAAGGAGGAGAGGGAGAATCTGTGCCTATGATTACTTCTGCATCTGGATCTCAAGCAGCTGCATAGAGATGGGGTAAGAGTTCCAGATTCCCATATCCAACTGAGGATTCAGAACTCCATTAAGGCAGTTTGACTACATTTCATTTCTCTTCAACAAAGGCCAAAGTTCACTTCAATGCACAGCAAATACAAAAGGTTAAAATGTTCAAAAAAGGATTCTATTCAGTTGATATTATCAATTTATTAAAGAAAGGTGAACTTTTTTTAAAATGAGGGTGAGACTATCACAGCTTCATGTACTGTGTAGTCCTGCAAACAAACTAAAGGCGATGCCTTCCACATCTGCTCTCCTGCAGGGGAGGAAGTCCTGGCACCAGAACCGAGTCTCTCTCTTCTTACTGCTGGATCTTCTGTTTTGCTTGGAAGCATTCCCCAACCTCACTGCAGCAATCACACCGAACATTTCATAGACCACTTCTCTCTTCTGCTACCCCACCTACGGGATGCTGAGGACCTCGGGAACAGACTACTCTGGGAGCATGTCTTTGTTGGTGGCTTATTTCCACAATGCAGAATAAAGTAAGGACAATACAGAAGTAGAGTAAGTTTGAAGAAATTTAGCAGGACAAGCGAATCTGATTCCTGCAGATCTTCCCAGTTTATACTAGCTTCAGTTCTAAACATTTCATACAGGAATTCTGACACTGGGTTTGGGAAAAGCAGGTTGGAAGAGTGTCACACCCTTACTTGACTCCCTTGTCCTTCCCCGAGATCACTCTGGGCATGACATTCAATGACCTGAATTCACATATGGAACAACAATCCGAAAGATGAAAACGGGCTCTTAAGAGTTGGGGATTATCAAGCAGCTTACTGGGGAGAAGCCAAGCAGTGAAGAACCTCTCTCACTTTAAAAAAGACCCAGAAGGAGAGAGAAAATGCTGGGCCTAGGTCAAAAAGTTAAAGGTACCAAAGGCCTGGGAAAACTGACCATACTGAACCAGTGACCCCTAAATAAGAAGGGGAGATTGTGTGTCTAGTACAAACCCGTGTAGCTCCTCCCCACCTTTGATGTGGGAAGGGAAAAGAGGGGATGTGTCTTTCACAAGAGTAAACAGTTACTCTCTGATGCCCAACTCTTTCCTCTAGTGGTCAAGGGAGCTTGTTCCTAAGTATGGTAGATGCAGTTTAGTCCTTGGACACGCCTGGCTTTGGGAATGGTTGTGCTGGCCCTGCTGCTGCTTTACATGTCAATCTTGGCTGGATCTTCCTGAAAAAGAAAAATACAACAGAAAACACCTTCATTAAATTTTGTTTTACTTGCAGTTCCACTCTGATTAAACTCTATCACTGAGCTCAATCCTACTCATTCTTTCTCTGGAAGATTCTGTCTGATTCAGGGGGCAACATCTGGGGAAGAACACTGGCCAGCTAGAGTCTCATGCCAAGTGAAGGTGACCAGGATGGGGGAGGGACTCACAACCATACTGTGAAAGGACTCGATGAAGCAACTGCGAACACTGAGCCTGGAAAAAGAAGAGTTAGGGGGCACACCTATCACGGCTAGCTCCAAATGTGTCAACAGTTGTTATGGGGAAAAGGGAAAAGACTAATTTTGTTTGGTCCTATGGAAGGCAGAACAAGGAGGTAAGAGGGAGACACATTTTAGTTTAATACAAGAACCTTCTAACAGTTAGGAACTGTCCAGTAAAACGGACTGTTTCAGAAGGGGACCCCATTACTGGAAGTTTTTAAATCGGATGACCATTTATTGTGGACTGGGGAGGGGGTCAGGACTACATGCCCTGTAAGGTCCTTTCCAGCCCTGAAATTTTGATCCTCCACTTGGAAAATGTTCAACTAGGTTCCATCAGCTGACAATTAGCTGACAAGCACCTGTGCTGAGACTCACCTCTCCAATAAACAAATTATTCTTAATAGGGATTCTTATTGTATGAATGGTCTTTAAATCATACTGGCTGGAATATGAAAACTGCTCTGCAACAAAAATGGTGAAGAGCTCTCATTTTCTCCACTTTTATAATAAATACTCCCACAGGGCTTTAAGTCTGACGAAGCACTTCTTACACACACACACCATCTCAGTTGAGTTTCACAACACAGAATGGACATTGAAGTCTAAGTCTGTCCTGACTTCAAGTCCCAAACTTTTCCCACTCCATCACATTTCTCTAACCATATTTACTAATTGCTTTTCTCAGTGCTAAATACCCACCTCAGTTTAGTTTTCTTCTATTTATCACTTTTTTAAAAACCTTATGGTCATAAATGTTATACTACAGAGATATCTACAGAAATCATCCATACAAGGAAAGCAAAGGGGAAGGGGCATAGCACAGGCATAGCATAGCTACTGCCAGGCAGTACACTCTGGCAGAGAGAGGTCTAGCCTGGGGAGAGAAGGACACAGGAGACCAGGGTTTGTGCCAGGTCTGAGCCTCAGCTGCTTCAAATGTAAAATAGGGAAAACACACGGACTACCTATCTTGCAGGGCTGTTGTAAGTAACATGCTTTGTAAACCTTGAAAGATATGCAGTTAATACATTACAGAGACACCCAAAAACATAGGTCCATTCATCTCTTGGACTCAAGAGATTAAGTTTCTGATAAAACAAATCACAAACATTAGATCCCTCTGCCTCCTTATATGTACACTTATTCCAGCACCCCCATTCTTCCATACTTAAACAAGGATGTGGGAAACCTCCACGTGCAGCCCCCAGAGGTGCTGGTCTCACCTGGACTATACAGTCTCCATCTCGTGGTCTTGGTCCTGCTCCTCTTCCTCCTCCTCCTCTTCCTCCTCCTCTTCTGCAGCCCCCTTCTCTCCAGGGGCATCCCCATCCCTGGCAATCTCCTCCACGTGAGCAAGCATGTCGGCCATCAGGGCCTCCTCCAGCCTTTTTCTCACCTGCTGTACAAGTTCTTCCTGTTTCCTGACTCAGAACAAAGATCACAGTCAGTTACCTCTAGTAGTCGATCGGCTCTGCAGCCAAACTGTGCAAATACTTGGTCCGGGACAGCCAAGTTGTTTAAACACTCACTTAAGTCTCTGAAGTCATACTTCAGAGCTGACGTTTTTAAATCATGATTTTATGTGTACTTAATGACTTTTACTAGGAAGCTATTTTCATCATCATTAGGAACCCAAGTTCTTGCCACTGAATGTGGTATTCAGCACCCAACTGGAGCACCCATGGCCCTGTCAAGCGAGGGGTCCAAGTACCACTGCAAGAGCTACCGCTGCCCACACTCTCAGGACGAGGAAAGGAATCCTCCCAAGTGGCTTCTTCTGGCTACAGCTAGCTCTACACACACCTCGGCAAAAGCTGCCCCTCTCACCTTTAAGAGGTGGCCCTATGACCTCAAGTAAAAGAATCTTGCAAATTAAATTGGCATGTTATTTCTTGGAGTGCTATTGTTACAATAAGGGCATCACACATTTAGGAGGGCCACTGACAAACTAGAAAAAGTTCAGAGGGAGGACAACCATGAAGGTAACAAAACCTGACCCAGGTCTCATGAAAACTGGTTGTTGGGGCAGCTAGGTGGTGCAGCAGATACAGCACAGGCCCTGAAGTCAGGAGGACCTGAGTTCAAATCTGGCCTCAGACCAAACACTTAACACTTACTAGCTGTGTGACCCTGGGCAAGTCACTTAATCCCAACTGCCTTTAAAAAAAAAAAAGACTGGCTGTTCATCCTACAAAAGAACAGACTTGACTGGGGTGGAGGGTGCAGAATGTCCTCAAACATTGGAGGGCTTGTTATAATGAGATCCACTGACTAGAGGTTTAAGTAGAGGCGAGGCAGCCACTTGCCAAGGAGGTTGTTACAGGGAGTTGGGCACAAGGTATGGGTTGTACCACAGGATTTCTGAGGTCCTTCCAAATCTAAGACTTTATTCATTTACAGTATTTAGTCCTTGGGGCTGAGGGAAGAGTGCCATTTTATAATATTCCCAAGGATAAAGGGAGAAATTTTTAGAGCAAGATGGACAAAATTAAGCTTTAGTCATAAAGTAAAAATTACTGTACATATTATATATTTGAGAGATACAATTTCATATTTTTTTTACTAACATTATTTACATTTCATGGAATGCCAGGGTTCTACAGGATACAGTTTGGAAAACACTACTCTAACAATACTAAACCAGGGAAGTTGATATCATGCAATGTCAGAATATACAATTTTAGAGCTGGAGGAGATCATTTAGTCCAGTCCCTACACTTCGTAAAGGAAGTGAAGGCCCAGAAAGGTTGAATGAGTAGCCTAATTTATCATACAAATAAGTTATTATCAGAGCGTGGACCCAAGTCTCCCAACTCAGAATCCAGGCCTCTCACCATTATACCCCCACCACCCACCCCAGCCTGCGTGCCCCCCACATCCCCCAACAGCATCACTTCATTATGTTAACAGGTAGGCAGCACGGGCATCGTTTGATTCTGAAGGTATAGCACCTTGCCCAAGCCCACACAATGAGAGACAGTTAAGATACAGGTCTTCTAAGCCCAGTATTCTAATTGACCCCCAGTGACTCTCCACATTAAAAGCTCCTCTGCAGTAAGAGGCGCCAGCACACCCTGTCCAGTCCCAGTACGGGACCAACTGCCCAAGTGGCCCATTACATTTTACCAAACTGGGGGCTGGTTCAATTTCAGGTTTGTCTTAAATCAGCACCAAGAACCTGAGGAACAAGACAGCTTGCAAAGCCTCCCTTCTCTCCTACCCTTGCCAAAACGGGAGGAGGAGGTACCTCTCGCCAGAGCACAGACTGTCTTAACAGTCTCTTCTATACGCTCCAACTCTGTTGGGCTACTGAGTCTAGAAACACTTTGGTGTCATAAAGGTGGAAACACTGATTCATGGAAGGAGGAGTTCTAAGGCCAAAGTCCCAGGCTCCACTTCTCACGTGGTTGGGGAAAACACAATGTTGAGCTGAGATACGGTGACACGGTCCAGCCTTCATGTGGTTTACTGTTCTATTAGACAAGAAGGCAACACCGACGGTGAAAGTTTGTACCATCCCAGGCGGTACCTGAACAGACAAATCTTGGGGCCTGGATACGCAATGCTTCATCCATTAGGTTATTCAATACCGCCAACCACATAGGAAGTCGTAACTCCCATCTCTTGAGAATCTGGGCCTAGCTTCTCTCTCTACTTGCTGCTACAATTTTTTTTTGGGGGGGGGAGGTGAATGGGGTAGCCAAATTGACTTAATATTTTTCAAGCCTCAGTTTTCTCATTTGTGAAATTAAGAGCCTGAATCTTGTGTATGAGATTCAAAATGCAGAATGATGGACCGGATTTATACCCACTGCAGGTGAGCAGTAGCATTTGTGTTACATGTCTCCATAGAGCATTTGACTGCCCAAAGTAATTTCTAATACATTTTCCATTACCTGATATCTTCATCAGTCACCATGAAGGCTTTGCAGAGTGGTTGCGAGGTATTAAGCCACACCCCAGGGTTCTTCTCGACAGCTGCTGAGAGCTGCCCAGTGATGGGCATTGTGCTCGTGTGCAGAGCACTGGCAATGGCAGAGAGGAGGGTTTCATCAGTGCAACCTGGGCCAACCCCTGCAGGACACAATTTACCAGAAAGAAAAAAAAGCTGATGAATCAACTTGCTCCATAAACGTCATCACATAGTATTAAAAAAAAAAAAAAGCAAAATACTAAGTTCCTTCAACCCCCTTCACCACCACCAGATGGTCAAACTTCATACTGCTGCTGGAGTTTGGCTTTTTTTTTTAAAGGCAATACAACTAAATATTAAATTTCAGTCACAGAGATACTATAACTTCCCAGATATTAACTGGTTCTCTAAGAACAGGATCAGAGAAACAGCTTTATCTGGGGGAGGGGGAAGTCTAGCCAGTAGTTGAATGAGTTCATAAGTTGATGCTAAGGAGAATGAATGACTGCTTCTAAGGCTGAAGGCCCAGCTAAGATCACTGCTGAAGAGACTCTAAGCTGCCATCTTGGGCTGGCTGTCCCAGCAATGCTTTTACAGAAGGCTTTGGTTACGATGCGTTAACAATGTTACTGAGAAACAAAGTTGGTGGGGGTAATGTCCTGTGGGGCGAGCAGTCTTCCTATCTACTTCAAATGTTACCAGACCAAATAAAGTAAAAAGTTTTGTATAGCCCTTCAGCCATGGTGAGAAAAGGAACTGCCTGTTTCCACAGCAATGGAGTGATGGCTTACATTTAAGGTAGGATACAAAATTAAACTATAACAGTTTTAATCCTCCCACATTCCACATGTTTTAAGGAGTTACCAAATTCCACACCAAGAAGTTCTTTACACAAAGAAACCCTTTCTATATTCTTTCATATATGCAAAGATTCTCTCTTTGAACCACAACCTTTCTAAGGAGAGATGAAGTTAAATTTGCTAAATTAAAAGTCAGACTAGCTTCTTAAACATCCTTGCTGGTGTCTTTTATCAGCCATTATCCAAAACTCAATTCAGAGCTAAAAATCAACCCACAGGTATAAACAAAGAATAGCAGTGGGGCACCACGGGGGTCAGAAGATCCAGGTTCTAAGGTTGTTTCTGCCACTATCTACCTGGGCAGTTTTAGGCAAAGTGCTCCCTGAGCCTCCATTTCTTCACCTGGAAGATGCTCTTTCAAAGGACCTCCTGGTTCTGATACTGTTTTAAATGCCCTCCCAGCTCTGACCTTCTGTGCTCTATGCACTCTCCATAGTAAAGCTTTCTCCATGCCTAACAGTCAATCCAGGAGAAGTGTAATGTGAAGGCTCACAAAATAGCGAAAAGATGTTCTTAAAATTTACAAGTTCAACATGCAGTCAAAAACAGTTACTAATTACCTTGTAAACCTTTAGGAAGATCCATTGTTTTCACAAGCTCTTCTGCAATGTCAAAGGCATTCAATCCACTTAGTTTCTTCTCCCAAAAAAGCTATCAAAGAAAACATTTATGTTTATTTACACAGTTTTTAAAAAAGGCAACTCAAGGGAGACCCTGATGATACAAAAAGCCCCAAATCAAATAGAATTCAGGCAGCTAGCCTGGGTTGTTAAGAGGACAGGCTGCCTAAGGATATGGGGGGGGGGGAGAGAAGATAATGTTACATTAGGCAGCTCATTTGAAATAGCAGCTGCCAAGGAGTTACCCTTAGGCACCTGGGGAGATAAGGCTTAAACTTTTTGAGGAAACAGCAAGGAGAGGAAGAGAAGACATCAGTTAACTGTAAACCATCCTAACGGCTGTCCTGTTCACACTGACCTCTTTCCCGTACCTGTCTGCAGCTCTTCCACACCCCCTATTTTTCTCTGTAAAATAGTAGCTTCATAGAAGTTTACTAAAACAAATCCTCTTATATTTAGCTGGTACACATTCAATTTCGTTAATACGTCTTTTTTCTGTATGTAGAATGTTAATATAGTAGCTTCAATGTCCAACTGTACTCTCTTCCTGTCTAAGGATAGAATCTCATATGTACTATAATGGCCACACAACCTACTTGTCTATAAGAATACTCTTCCTTTATTATCATTCCCTTTCCAGTTCTGCATTTTATTAGTTCAAAATGAAGCAATTCTATTTCCAATATTCTCAACAGTCAGTACAGGCAGACCTGCACTTTGATTGACTGAGCTCTGCGGACAGAGGTTTTCACAAACTGAAGGTCTGGGCAAGCCAGTCTCCCAGTGCCATTTTTCCAATAGCACGCGCTGCTGTCATGTCTCTGGGGCATGTTTGGGAATCCTCACAACATTTCAAACTTTTTCATTATTATCTCTGTCATGGTGATCTGGGAACAGTGATCTTTGATGTAACTACTGTAATTGTTTTGGGGCGCCACAAACTGCCCATATAAGACAGTAAACTTGACGGATAAATGGCATGTGTGTTCTGACAGCTCCATGGAATGGCCACTCCTGTCTTCTTCCCTCTCCTTGGGCCTCCCTATTCTATGAAACACAACAATTTTGAAATTAGGCCAATTAATAACCCCACAATGGCCTCTAAGTGTTCAAGTGAAAGGAAGAGTCAGTCAATGTGGTAAACTTCATTTCTGTCTTTTTTTTTTAAAGTACAATTTGTTAAAGACTCAGATGATGCTTAAGCTTTTTTTTTAAGCAACAAAGTATTTTTAAATTAAGGTCTGTACATTGTTTTTTTAGACATAATACTGCAAACTACTTAGCAGACTACGGTAAACTTTAAAGTAAAGTAAACCTAACTTTTATATGCACTGGGAAACAAAAAAATTTGTGTGACTCACTTTATTGTGATATTCACTTTAATGCAGTGGCCTGCAACGGACCCCACAATATCCCTAAGGTTTACCTTGACTGTGTGGTCAAGTGGAAAGAACACTAGATTGAGAATCAGGAGACTTGGGTTCTATGATCAGATTTGTCCCCAGTCATTGATCTGTAAATGTAGGCAGGTCACTTCCCCTTAGTTTTTCCATCTGCAAAGAAGGGGTTGGATCAGTTGATCTTTAACGTCCCTGTTTAGCCCTAAAATTCTATGTCCCATAAAAAACTCACAATTAGTTTTGATCCTTAAGACCGTCCTACATTCAGGATAATGGAAAAGCAGTCATGAAGCAGCCTGATGGGAGCTATGCATCATGTTACATAAGGAAGACCCAAGCTGTGAATCGACCTGATTTCGTGTTCCCTAGGCTGGCAACGTTGCCATACTGATGTACTAAGCCTACTGAGGTCACAAAGAACATAGACCTAAAATTGTCAGAGAGAACTGCAGCTCTGAGAGCTCCCAACAAATGGTCTAGGTAGGAATTCAAGTCCCAGGGCAATGCAATGTAGCCACATTCAAAGTGAACTAGGCTGGCATCCGAGATGCTGGAAGCAGCTCCCTCAGGTGCAGCACAAAAGACACGGCAGGGGAAACACTAGGATTTATGAACTGAGAGTACCAGCAACCAGACAGCTAACCTTATGCTAGCTAGTGCAGTGGGGAAACTCCTCATCTGTAACATGGCCATAATATGACCACTCCAGACAGGGAAACTGAGGCCCCAGAAGCAAAGATGGTCCCTTGACAAGTGAGTGGCAGAGCCAGGATTAGCACACAGGTTTGTTTCATCCTTTCCAATCCGACATGCCTGGCTCTCTCCTGATGGGAATGTAAAATTCCAAGGGAAAAGCATACCATTTGACGACTGAGCCTTACTCAGAGTAGAACAAATGCAATACCCAAGTCTGTGAGTCTCACCTGTCGAGGCTGGTCCACAGCCTTCTGTGGATCGCTCTTTACTTTATTGCTGGGATGGTTAGTAATCTTGGTAACAGGCTGTTTGAAGATGGATGCCGTCTGCCGGACAGGGAGTGCTGTATTTAAATCTGGTTTTCCCTACAACAACAAGCAAGTTAGACCATACTCCTAACAACTCATATTTGTATAATACTTTATTTACAAAGTGTTTTCTTCACAGAAGACAGTTCAATCTTTATAGAATGACACTGCTGGCCTCCACCTTGATTCCACTTAATCTCAAATAGGCTAAATATAGAATGCCAGAGCTGGGTCATTTTAGAGATCCCCTAACCCAGAGGCGGGTAATAGGCAGCCCTTGGGCTTTATGCTGTGGTCCTCAACATTCCCTAGGTTCACCCAAACCAGATTAAAATGTAATTGGAAAATATTTAACAAAATAAAAATACAAAAGAACATAGGTAATGTTAACATGTGGTCTTCTAAGTCACAATGTGCCCATGGGGATCCTGTCACCCTGTTTCTGAGTCTGATACCACTGCTCTAGCCCAATCACTTAATTTCCCAGGAGGGGAAGGAGAGAAACAATAAAGAGACCTGACGTGTCTAAGCTAAGCATATGGCGCATGGACCAACATGCCTTAGGACACTTGGGAAAAGTAAGCACATACTCAGGGTTTGTTTTAGAACTGATTTAACAAATGTAGGTGAAAAAAATAAAGGCCAGCTGGGTGGAGAAACCTAAATCCCAACAGATCCAGCCACCCCAGCAAAGACAAGAGTTTCTATTTTAATATGGCTCCTCAGCAGTCTGTGGCCCAAGCTCGATAAGTAACCCAGACTGTGCCAAACACAGACGCTCTGCCTTGTGACTTGTAACATTTGTATAGGATAGGGAGAGAAATCTGGACATATCCTCTGCCTGGAATTCTTATAAATAACAGCTCTACAGTGGTTACGAGCAGGCCAGGGGTGGAAAACTCAAAAAGAAACCGGAGGTAGAGGGAAGCGAGACACATCATGACTCAGAAAACTACACATTAAGGGGCAGCTAGGTGGCACAGTGGATAGAGCACCGGCCCTGGAGTCAGGAGGACCTGAGTTCAAATCTGGCCTCAGACCAAACACTTGACACTTACTAGCTGTGTGACCCTGGGCAAGTCACTTAACTCCAATTGCCCTCCCCCCCAAAAAGGTCTGGAAAACCACATACTAACATCATCTATGTTCTACTGTATTTTTATTTATCTGATTAAATATTTCCCAATTACATTTTTAAGGTTCCTCTGCCCTGACAAGTGCTGCAGGAGCTCTAGCATTTGATACTTCTAGTATTCAGGTTCTTAAGAATTGGAAGGAACCTCAAAAGCAGCTGTTCCAATCAATTATTTGCACAGGAAATGAATGTCCAAAACACTCATTCCCAACGAGTGCTAGTCTGATCTCTGCTTGAAGACTTCTTGTAAGGGGGAGCTCACTAGCACCATCCTGCTCTGGGACTCTCTAGGGAGTTTATCTCGCACTGAGTAGAAATCTGCTTTTCTATAGCTTTTACCATTGTTTCTCCGTTGCCCTTCTGTGGCCACAGGACTTCCCCCCAAAACCTCCTTCCATTTGGCATCCCTTCATATTCTTGCCGATGACCCCCACACCCATGTCTTCTTTCCATTAATTAAACATTCCTAGCAGTTCCTAGGAGACAAGCTCCTTGAGGGCAAGGAGATTTCATTTGTCTTTGTATCCCCACGGATTAAAGCGACCCTCCTATCCTCGACTGTCTGTTTCCTGGATGTATCCCACTTCACTGATGTTAAATGGTTTGAAGAGGTGATCATTCGCCCCCTCCTCTACTGTATGAAACACTGACTTTGGACTCAAAGAGAAGCTGGGTTTGAATCCTGGGTGCACCAAGGTTGTCTATGTGACCCTGGACAAAGGTCACCTCTCTGGGCCTTCAATTTCCTTATAGGTGAAGAGGTTGCTCTAAATCTGAGATCCTATGTTTCACAGAACATTGGAGCTAGGCGTGGCTTCATGGATGACTTAGTCTGAAGCCCTCACTTAACAGATGAAATTGAAGCTCAGAGAGGTGCCACAGCATTAATAGCAGAGCCAGGATTAGAACTGTGGTCTTCTGATTCTCAATTCAGTAACTTTTCTTCTTCCCAACAGCACTCTTCTGTCCTACTGAAAGATGGGTAGCTCATCTTTTATCAATGCATAATTGTTTCAGGTACAGAAATATCATCCTCAGTAGAGAGTAAACTACTCTGGGGTACGGACTATGTCTAACATATTTTCTATGGCTCACAGGTCCTCAATATGGGTATTCCCTCCTCTCCTAACACAGACCACACAACCCTTTGAGGACTAAGAATATTATCTTTGACAGTTGCCAAGGTTAAAACAGTCACCACATGGCTGTCAGCCTATGAAAAGCCCAACCAAACTCATATGGCTGCTCTTCTGACAAACACTGTTCATCACCAGACCTAGGAATGAACTGAATGGCCCTAATTGGATCCTTCTGCTTGGGGACCCACTGAATAAGGTGGTTTTTACTCCTACAATCAAGCCAATACAAGAATTTTTTTGGAACTTAAGCAACTGGCATGGTGGAGATACAAATGAATTGTGTTAAACAGAGAAGGGAGATCACTTCAGGATGGAAGTCATATAAAAGCAGGAGGATTTGGGTAAGACTTTATCAGTAAAAAGAAGAAGGGAAGAATCTATTTCAGGTAAGTTGAACAGTGTGAGTAAGCAAATTCCCAGAGTTAAGTAAGGGCCAAGTGTGCTCAAGACATAGCCAATGAATCTGTCTTGCTAGAAAGAGCTTACATAGAGCTCCGGCCTTGCAGTCAGGAGGACCTAAGTTCAAATCTGGCCCCAGACACTTGACACTTACTAGTTGTGTGACCCTAGCAAGTCACTTAATTCCGACTGCCTCACCAAAAAACAAGAGAAAGAGAACGCGAGAGAGAGCGCTTATATAGAGGAAGAGTGAGATCTAGGGACCAGATTGAGGTAGGCCTTCAATGCCATAACAAATTATATAAAGGTCAGTAAAAGAAATGGTCAGAGGAAAGAGCCATTGCTGTTTAAAAAGAATGACAAATACCACCAAAATGCATATCCTCTATAATCCTTCCTAAATAAAGGATACTCTACACTATTGGGGTGGTAGGAATAAGAGACCAAAAAAAGCACTGAGGTTCTCTGTATATAAGTGGTGGTTATTAATGAAGAGAAAATATGAACTTGGTAGTACACTGAGCCAGCTGGATGAATGAACACTGGATGAGGAGTCACTCAAGATATTATATTTTGAATCCTGGCTCAATTTCCTCACCTGTAAAATGTAAGTAATACCTGTCCTATACCTAATTTCTCAGAGGGCTATGTTACTGTGAGGCTCAAACATGGCAATGTATTGAAACTTTTTTGTAAATCGCAAAGCATCAAAATAGTAACTGATTATATATGTACAGCACAACATAAATGCCAAATATTGCTGGTATTAGAAGGAAGAAAAGGTTACAAAATGCTCCCCAAAGCCCCTACCTCCCCATCTGCATTTATCTGACAGGGATCTGTCAAATTAATCTTTAAAGGAGAAGAAAAAATTCAAATATACTATATTTGAGTATATCAAAAATAACTTGTAGTATATAGACATATTAAATTGACAGCAAAGGTGCCCTACAACCTCCAGTTCTGACATACAGATATTAGAAAGTGGGGGCTATGCCAAAAGCATCCGTGGGGTAGGGATAAAGAACGCCTCCAGGAAGCACAGAAGTTAATACCGTGCTGAGGCAGCACCTGTTCATACCAAAACTATCCAGGAGTGGGATCAGCTGCCTGGCAGCCTTTTAACCCCGCTGACAGGCAAGGCAGAGTATATAAAACAAAAATACAATAATGTACCCAAGTTTGAAAAAAAATGACTTGATACTTAAATTTTAGACTTTTTTTTGGGGGGGTGGATGGGATGGACTGGACAATAGGGGTTAAGTGACTTGCCCAGAGTCACACAGCTAGTAAGTGTCAAGTGTCTGAGGCCACATTTGAACTCAGGTCCTCCTGACTCCAGGGCTGGTGCTCTATCCACTGCACCACCTAACTGCTCTTAGATTTTTTTTTTAATGCAAGGGTCTTAAACTGCTTTGCAAATCACTTGCTAATTCTCAGATCATTGCCGTCCAAGTAAATGGTAACCACTCTTTCCTCCCCCCAACTTTCCAACATGCATATATTTCCCATCTGTAAAATGAAGGGATTGGACAAGACGATCTCTAAGGTCCCTTCCAGTTGTAAATCCTTGACCCAAGATAAAAGAGCACAGACACAGCAGAACTTCAGAAAGGAAGCAGAGAAGCTATCACAGAGATTCAGAGAGAATCTTCACCCCTGGACTTCTGCTTTTATCCCTCTGCAGCTCCTCCTCTAATCTTTCCCCTTCAATCCATCTGGCACCCCACTGCCAGGCAGATCTCCCTAAAAGATTACTGGCCAGGGGTAATGTGGGCAAAGCAAATCAGACAAAAGCCTGCTATAGTGTTTCACAAGATTAAGAGTAGTAATGAAACTTTTTTGTTTGGTTGTTTTTCTGTTGTATCTGACTCTTCATGACCCCATTTAGGGTTTTCTTGGCAGAAATACTAGGGTGGTTGGCCATTTCTTTCTCCAGTTCATTTTACAGATGAGAAAACTGAGGCAAACAGGGTTCAGTGATTTGCCAGGGGTCGCATAGCTTGGAAGTATCTGAGGCCAGATTTGAGCTCAGGTCTTCATGACTCCAGGCTCAGTGCTCTATGAACTAGGGTGCCACCTAGCTGCAGAGCAGTAATGAAGCTTAGAGATCAACTAGTTCAAGTCCTTTTACAGAAGAAAAAGCAGAAGCTCAAAGATAAGGTCTCTGCTCATCAAGTCAGGAAGCTGCAAAGCCAGGATGAGGATCCAAAGTCTCCTAGCTCAAATCCAGTGCTGCTCCTGCTACATTATCTCCCAAGCTACATTCCACAGATCACAGGTGTGCTCTGCAATCTGACTAGGAATTAGGTGGGAGGAAATGTCAGTGTTATCCAGTGTTCTTCCTCAAAACACTAAATAGGAAATTATGCATTTATAAAATG